GTGATTTTATTTACATTAATATTACGTACAAAATCATAAGTGATTCACGTGACTTTGACCCATGACGTAAAGACGTGGCCAAAGTCACCCACACACCTTTTTTACCGTGAATGTAAAATCACATGTGATTTGCCACGTGGTTTGATCATTTTCGTATTTTTTTTAAATAGTTAGCATTGTTGTTTGATTATCCTCTCTCTCTCTCTCTCTCTCTCTATATATATATATATATATATATACTAGTTGTGTACCCGCGCAATGCAGCGGGAGGCATGAATTTTAACGATTTTGAAGTTTCACTGGTTTTATAAGATAAGATTTAACGATGATATATGTTACACTTAGTATTTACATATTAATACAATTTGAATAAATAAGAGTTATGGTTCCAATTACAGACTATCGATAAAAAAATTGTATGACAACTTAAAATCCAATATATTTAAACAACTCCACAAATGTGTTCGATTTACACCAAGAGCAAAGAACCAAGAAACTTGAGTTTTAAGATAAACACTCAAAACCAATAAAGAAAACTACAAATTTAATAGATAATAAGCCATGAAAAGACCAAAAAATATGAGTTTTAGAATGAAATTTCAACTGTTTACCCTATTTCTTGTCCAGAAACTCAGATTAAGGTTGAATTAATACATGTATATATATATATATATATTTCAAAAAAACCCAAGAACATATTAATTCAGAACATATTATATAGTGCAATTTGGACAGCCTAACCCCAAAATATATAATATATATATAAATAAATAACTATAATATAAATCGTAAATATAAAAAATATTTTTTTACAGTATATATAATATATAATAATATAATTAAGTAAAAAAATATTCTATATTGGACTTATTTCAAAGGTATTAAAGAGACGATTATAATAGTGTAACTTGTTAAAATAAAAATGTATTTTTTAAACAGTTTTAATTGATATACGATTATGTATATTAATTCGATAAAGGTTTAAAATGAAACATTTAAAAGTAAATGACGTAAAGTAAATTAATTAACTAATTATAGGGGTATAAGTGTAAATTTAAAATTATAATTTAAAAAAAATCAGTTGTGAGAGGGTGAGTGGATGTGAGTAGAGGAGGGGTGAAAAGGTGAAAAAGTGTATAAAGGGTATTTTGGTCATTTAGTATTTTAAGACTTTAAGACTTTTGCTAAATTTGCTTTATAAGATAGTATAGATATATAATAATATAATTAAGTAAAAAACTATTCAATATTGGACTCATTTCGAAGGTATTAAAGAGACGATTATAATGGTGTAACTTGTTAAAATAAAAATGTATTTTTTAAACATGTTTTAATTGATATACGATTATATATATTAATTCAATAAAGGTTTAAAATGAATTAAAAGTAAATGACGTAAAGTAAAATAATTAACTAATTATAGGAGTATAAAGTGTAAATTTAAAATTATAATTTTAAAAATAATCGGTTGTGAGAGGGTGAGTGGATGTGAGGAGAGAAGGAGGTGAAAAGGTGAAAAAATGTATAAAGAGTATTTTGGTCATTTAATATTTTAAGACTTTTGCTAAATTTGCTTTATAAGATAGTATAGATATATATAAATTAATGAAAAAGTATATCAATATAAATGTTAAATTAATGAAA